CGAAGCCCGCGCCCCGCTCGGACGTGGCTGCGGCCCTGGCGGGTGGGCGAAATGGCTGGACAGGTGTCCGTGGGAGGGGACCCTGAGGACCACACGACCGTCAGATAATAATACGAAGACGCCCGTTGCCCTTTTCGCCGAGTGACAGTGGGCGAGACTGCCTGCTCATCAGAACCAGCTGCAGCATCGGCAGGTCTCACCGCCACGCACGAGCAGCAACTAATAAACACACGGAGAGAATAGACATTTTTTTTTAAATCTTGTAAGATTTTTAAATGTCGGTGTTGCTGAAGAGTGCCCTGGATGAGGCAGTAAATTGTTTTATGAAATCGCAATCCTTCAGGACAAATTGTTTTATGAAATCACAATCCTTCAGGACAAATTGTTTTATGAAATCGCAATCCTTGGGGACGTGTCCTCTAATATTCTGTGTAACAAAAAGAGAAGTATGTGCCCAGCGTTATTTTCTGCGGTGCCCTGTACCCAAGGGGGCTGTATGTCCTAAAGAGAAGCCCTCCTTCCGCTCATGAAATTTGCTGCTTTTTTCACACAGAACACCGTTTTTGTGTGAAAGAACCATGGACACGCTATCTACGGTTATTCAGACTTGGGTATTTGAAAGGTATTTTGTGGAAAATAAATGAAATGGCCCTATCACTTCAAGGAAAACTGGCAGCTTTTGTGGTCAATGTAAAATCGGAGCTTCCTATGAGACTGTCAGCTTCCTAATAGGCAAAGACTTTTTACAAGATCGGCAGTGATATTAACGAAATTTTTTGCATTAACTCAGCAAACTCATATTTTCTAAATGACTAATGCAGAACATTACAAAATCGTGAATGGGTACAAAACGTTGAAAGCGCATAGACCGAGGGATTTCAATGGAACAGAGAACAAAAAGTTCATTAATGTGGTTTTCCAATTCCACACTGCAACTAACGTTTTAGAAACGACCATTCATCCAGTTTGAGTTTAATACTAAAAAAGAATGCCCACAATTATCTGAAAAGCCTATAAAATATTCCTCCCTTTTCTAACTACGTATCTGTGTAAAGCCAGATTTTCTTTATATCTTTCCTTCCAAACAACATATGACAACAGATTGAATGCAGAAGCAGCTACGAGAACCCAGCTGCCTTCTAGAAATGCAGGCATGGAAGGGATGCTGGAATGTAAAATAACATCCCTCTTCTCGCTAAAGGTTTGCCTCGAGAAATAATGATGGTTGTGAAAATGCTACCTTAAAATGCAACGGGTTCATCATCGTTATTTTAAGTGAATTAATAAATGTTTTTTTTAAAGTACACAGTTTCAATTTCTAATATGGCAAATCTAACCCCTGCACATGAAAGTTCTCTGTGGCTGTCAACCATTGAGAGTGTAAAGTGGTCAAGAGATGAAGTTTGAACACCATCGGACGAAATGAATCCTGCCAAAATACAAAGAGTTATTTCAAATCATTAAAAACACTGAGTGTGTTTGCTCTGACTTGACATAAGCAGGGAAAAAGTCTGCGTCATCCACGGGTGCGATCCATCTAAGCCTCTGAACTCGACGGGGCAAAGTTCTTCCAACGTCTGTATATATTCTACAGAGTTCGGTATCTCTCGTATTCTGCTCAGTTCTGCCTCGTGCACAGCGTGCTGACACTTCTCGTCCCAGTGGCCCCCAAATTTCCTAAATTCAGTGTGGGTCTAAGGTTTATAGAGATCCCACATAAATGAGTATTTTTCTGCAGGCGGGTTCACGGGGATGTTGTCAAAAGCTTGTGGAACATGTGTTGTTCTACAAAACAGCACATGCTTTCCAAAGATACCCTTTTTGACTCAGTAGCCCAGAGGCACATTAGTGGGGCTGACAGGATGATGGTCCAGCGGGCCGGTTACACTTTCTTATCAGTGAACCTCTGAGAATGCGATACTGGGAAGCAGGAAGGTAGAAGAAAAATCCTTAGCCAGTGAGTCTGGCAACAGAGTGCCTGAAATCATCTAAAACTGAAAGTATTGCAGGAAAGAAGAAAGGCAGCACGCCACCCACAGTCCACAGCACGTATTGCTGACACGTCATAGGCAGGTCTCATTTTCTCTTTAAAGAACCAAAGTTCCCAGACACCCTTACTGATCAAGCTGTTCCTAAGGTTAAGACACATCATCGGTTTCCAGGAGCTTACTAATTAACATGGAATCGATGATGGATCTAAGGGAAGAAAAGTAAGAGTCTAATATTAGATAGGATAAATCTGACCGACAAAAAAAAAGATACAATAATTTGTGTTTTGAAATAAGCCCGGGGACAAATTATCTTTTCGGAAACGTAGAACTATAGCTATTAATAAAGAAAGCAAGGATTTGACTTACTATGGCATCTTTAACGATTTGTTTGGCCACTTGCTCTGGTGTGCAAATCGATGTGGTCTCTGAAATAAGGCGGGTTTCCAAAGGCTAAAGTGGAAAAATGGACATATCAGTTAAAAAGTCAATAATTCTTACAGCGCTCCAACCCGCCATTGCTAAATAATTCCAGTTTCCCACCTTGGAATAGATTCTTATTTGGGGAGATTAGGTCCATCTGGATTCTAAATCAGTTTCTACCTGGTTAACTGTGTAAAATTCAGCCCGGCAGCTGAAGCCAGACAAGGAGGCCCTGGCCACTCCCCGTAGGACGTGTGGTCTCGGCCCCAGTGAGGACCATCCAGGCTAGGCCGAGAACACATCTCTGCAACAAGACCAGAAACACTGGCTCCTTGACTCCTCCCTGCTGGCCAGACGCCCGGCCCACGGGGCTCCCCCAGAGCCCAGGCTGTGCCCTGAGCAAGTGTCCTCTTACGACCAGCACCTCTCTTCCCACGCTACTCCCAGGCCAGCTGAGGACTGACCGCTGGACAGAACGGAGGCCCTGAGCAGGGACGGCCCCGGCCCCTGTTCAACACTGCAGCCGTTTCTCACAGGACCTGCAGAGGAGGCAGCGGGGGAACTAGGAATCACCTGAGTGGTCCCTCACGTGGCTGTGAGCTCGTTACTGGGCTGGGGCATCGGAACCCCAAATCTCAAAAGGCAGGCAAAGGTCCTTCTCCCCCTTGTTACCCAGCTCAAAAAAGACATTTATGAATTCTTAACTGGCGGGAATTCCTCTTCCTGTCTTTGAACATTTCTGCCTTAATGTATATTATAGCTACTCGTGTAGTTGCAATTTACCTCCTAAGTTCTCTATGAGCAAAGTCTTTTTTTTTTTTTCCTGTTTTCTCCCTTTTTTTGCATCTTTTTCGTGGCGACATGTACACATATGCTCAAAAATTCTTTCAAAAGGGAGTTCGAGTTAGAAGTTTCAAAACGAAATCCTTAAACTGCATGAAACTGTAAATTTTATTTACCATGCAGGCTTAAAAGAATTAAATAAAATTAAAACCAGAATATGGCCTTTTAAAATGGGAAAGCACAGCACTTCATAAAAGTCAAGTATTTCTTGTTAAACCTGAAGTAAGAGGAAGAAGGCCTTTCGAAGGTGCCACCATGCATTCTTCCAGACCACCATGCCGGTGTCTGTGGCCAGGTATGCCCAAGATTTAAAAGGACTGTGGGCGCCCCCTACAGTGCTCAACCTAGAATTTGATTTACCCCGAGAAGTCAGACCAACATTTTCCTGGAGTTAAAAAAAAAAAAAAAAAAATAGCTTAACATCAAAATCAAATCTTCACAGGGAAATCACCACCCTGTGTCAGCTTTGGCTTCAAACTAAAAGACTGCTTACCAAATGTTGCAAATCTGCTTAGCAGAACCCAGCTTATTCTAAGACACACATTTGGCTTAAATTTACTCCTCTGAAATAGTGGTAATTTTAAAAGAGGCAGAGCTAAAGAGAAATGACTAGGAAAAAAGCTTCTAAATCATAACCATCTTTTTGCACATATACGGCCTGTGGAGCATAAGTGCCAATTTTCATGCTGTGGAGTTTCACACTAAGCATTATTATAAAAGAGATGAAAAACCATCAACATGGGTTCGAAACGATAAGCGCTGACTGATTCCTTTATTTGTTTGTCTGCTCGGAGAGTGACTACTACGCATCGAGGCAAAGAGGAACAAAATGCAAAGCTTGTATTCAGCTCCGGATCACCCTACGGTCGCTGTATACAATGTAAATGTCCAGTGGTGATAAGCGCCTCGGCTCGGAGGAAAAACTAAAGCCAGGGAAGAGGATGGCGAACGTCCCAGGCGAATGCCATCTGACATCCAGAGGGTCAGGGGAGGGACGTCTGTACCGAGATGGAAAGAGGCAAGGGGATCGGCCACCCGCACATTCAGAGAGAGGACGGCAAGCGCGAAGCCTGCGGGCGACCACGGGCTGGGCAAGCTCACGCAACTGAGGTCCAGACACCGGCGGACTTTATAAACCTCAAGGCCTCCGGACTCCACTCCAGGTGTGATGGCAGCCACTACCGCCACACTCTCCACGATACAGGCGGCCACTACCGACATAGGACACTCAATTTTAACTTTGAACTAGTTAAAATTAAATAAAATTAAAAATTCACTTTCTTGGTCCCCTAGCCACTTTTCAGGTGCTCAACACCCACACTATTATGAGACCACCGCATCAGAGGGTGCAGGCACAGAACATTTCCATGGTTCTAGAATGTTCTATGGGACTGGGTGGTCTTTTGGGGTTGGTTCGTTTGTTTGTTTTTAAACATGAGGGTTTTAAACAGGGAGGTGAAGAGACCTGCCTTATGCTTGAAAAAGATCATTAGCGACTCTGTGAAGAACAGGCCCCAGGGGGCTGAGGACAGAAGCAGGAAGAGACCACTGTCGAAGGTCACGAAGGTCGTTCAGGCAAAAACATCCAGGGCCACCACTACTGGCATGGCAGTGATATGTACGGTTTTTTAAAAAGTCAGATTTGGGATATTTTCACAGAGAGGAGCCACAGGGATCTGCAGACCAACCGGACGTGAGGTGTGAGACGGGGGAGCCGAGGCCGGCTTCGTGGTCCACAGCCTGAGCAGCTGTGGCCGCCAGGTAACGAGATGAAAATCACGGGGGTTCCGAGGGGGGATCGAAAGTTCCGTTTCGGAAGCGTTACGTCTGAGATGCCCATCGGACCTCGATAGGGAGACAATGGCCCAGTAAGCAGGTGTTTAAGTTCAGGGGAGGGAATATTATTTTTAAAGAAAACCATCTCATCCGTTAAAAATACAGGCTGGACTCTCCATCACAAAGAAAATACCTTATTGATGCGATAAGGCTTCAAAGATTATGAGCAAAACTCATGGCCTTTGAAAACATGGCTGCATTCTCCAAGATTTCAAATGAAAGTTCCAGAAAGTTCAGAGGCCTCTAGTGGGCACATAAATCGAAAGGAACTTCATTTTCTGACATGAAAATGCCTGTGGGCCGACGTGTGGAAAGGCAGAAAATCAGCAAAGGGGGTTCATAACATGAAAGCCTCAAAACGGGGCGCAGAGGAATACTTACTTTTGTTTTGTTTTCTTCTGCAAACCCAGGGGTGTCTGTGTCAGGTGGGTAGGCGACTGTGACATAGACGTTATACGGCTTCACCTGCGTTTCAGAAACGACATTCGCCCCTTCAGTAAGCAAGACACAATTTCGCAGCCTCCCTTGCCAGCCTGCACTGGCTGCCACCCATAGGTGGTAAATACTGCCCTGATGTTCTCAAAAGGTGGCGAGGCCCGAGGGCGATTCTAAAAGAGGACTCCCACCAGCTCAGAGAAGTGATCTCCGAGAGGACCATTCAGAAATAAAGACAGAAAACGCGTCCTAGCTTCTAACTCCACAAGACACCTGGTCTTCGGGTACGGCCATTCGCCCCCACCCCCCTTCCTGGTTCCTTCCACTCCAGCTGCCCGTGAGGAAAATGACAGCACGAAAAGTCCACCTGGCTCTGCCTGGTCTCCCCGCCACTGCCCACCTCCCGGGCACTGGGTTCAAGGCAATGGGCCAGGGCTGCCCCTCCCCCATCAGACTGTAAGTCCGTTTACCTTCATGGCTGCTTCTGACACTCTTGTTATGTTGATTTCATCCATGAAATATGCCGAGGCCATTCAGACCCCTTCCCCTGGGCCCCTCTGGTGCCACCCAGACCGGGGCCAGAACTACATGCACCCCGAGAAGTCTGTTTGTTCAAGGGTTCCCTGTGGAGCTGGCCCCTTCGAGGGGCTCAGGTGTCACCTCCTCCTCCACAGAACCGGCAGGAATCTTCCCCCACTCCCAGTGGGACCCCCGAGTCACCAGCCAAGCAAAGCACCTTCCAGCTCCTTCTCTTCATAGCTCCCCTCCTCCCGCCACCTTGATCTCCACCTCACTCCTCTGATGATGTGAAAGACAGGTTCTTGGGCTTGCTCCCCTCACTGCCAGGCCTCCACAATTAACTTCCCCACTCGCCGACACTCTCCAGCAGCCCTGCTCCCCGCTGATTCTAAGTGACCCCTAAGGGCGGTGGTCCATGCCATCGACATCTCCGCCATGGCTTTTGTTTGCCACTGGCTCACTGTTTAGACCCCATGAGTTGGAAATGGACAGGCAGCTGGTCATCAGCTCAGCCACTGTGTGTCTAAAGAGGCTAAAAAAAGACAATGGCCTCTGAGGGTATCCCAGGGTCCCTCCTGATTGTGGGGCCCACTTTCTCCCTAGTTCTGAAGACTGTGGGAGGAGCCGGCCAGCCTGGAAAGAGCAAGAGTCAAGAGTGACGACGTCCTGGTTGGTTCGGCTCCAGTGCACTCAGGGTGTGAGAGCTCGTCTGCTCAGCATGGACGGGGCGTGTGGCTTCAAGGTCCAGCTATGGCTCTGGGTTCAGGCCAGGCGGTAAGGTTGAAGAACAAGCAAGTCCTCTTCCACTTACATGTGAGAGAGTAGCTTTAAAAACTGTCTTCCGTGGCCTTGCCTTCTATTGTGCAGAAACCAGAGGAAAATGCCACCAACAAAGCCAGTGTGTGGTCATTCGACAGCCACTGTACAGCCCGGAGCGGACTGCTCAGATGCGCTGCCCCCCGGCCCTTCTCCCCCACAGTAAGGATGGTGGAACACGGGCCAACGTAAGGCAGCATTTCAAAGCAGTGTTTCTCGAATGCAAGGCTACGGCTAAGCCTCCACATGGTTAAAACAGGTTTTCAGAACAGCTTTCTCCGGGGGCGGTGGTACCGACTGTCAGGGCTGGGAGGAACCAGTCCGATCCCTTTCTGGGTGTGGTGTCCTCTATAACCATGGAACTAAATACTCTCTCAGCCCCTGGCTGGAAACCTCCAGAGACTAATAAGCTAACCATTTTGTGTATTCATCCAACAAATACTGACTTACCACCACGTGGCGGTATTGTTCTAGAAATGAAGCATATAGATGCGAACAAAACAGACAAAACCCCTGCCCTCACGGAGCCGATGGTGTCCTGAAACTCTTGGTCAAATAGTTTGCTAAAATCTAAATACATTAAATTATGTCTATACTTTCATTTACTTGATTAATCCCACAACCCTAGCAGAAAAGAAACGAGGTTAGTTACGCGTTCTCCGTCCTTGCTGAGATGATGCTGACTCCCAGAGATGACCACTTTTTCTAAGAATTTGTAAGCCAGGACTTCAACAACTTAAGCTCTTCCTTCGAATACATGCTAATTTTATTATTCGGTCAAAAAGGATAGATTTTTTGTTACAGAAACATCCCTACAGAATAAAATATCTAGTTAGCCTTATGCATACTCACCCAGTAAGACCAACAATGCCATGACGATATCAGCAGTACTTTGTGTATTAAATTAAGCAAGCAAAAACCTCCCAACCGTTTTGCTTCTGTCATAACTATAATCATTTACGCTTTGAAAAATGTTAACTTTTTCAATGCAAAGTTCAGGCGTCGAGCCAATTCTCCACTAACGTCAAATCTACAAATCTGTAATTCAAAATAACGACGCGTGTCAAGAAACTACACACTAACGGGAAACATTTGCTGAGCCGAGAGGAACAGACGTAAAACCAAACACAGCATTTACCTCCATCTGCAAAGCTTCGGCCAGTCCCCGGATGGCAAACTTGGACGACGAGTAGGCGGTGAAACCGTACAGTCCCACCTGCCCCGCCTGGGAGGACAGAAAGACGATCCTGCCCACCCGGCGCTCCTTCATGGTGGTGATCACGGCTCGGCTCGGGTACACGCTGCCCAGGTAGTTGACGCTCATTAGTCTCTGCGGGGGCGGGGAGCAAAGAGGCCATGAGGCGTGCACTGGGTCAAAGCCGCCAGGCGGCGCTCGTGGGAGGTCGGTCTGCTCGCCAGACCACAGTTCCTCCGGAACTGACCCGGAGCTGACCCGGAGCTCGGTGAGCCTGTAAATAAGCTGAGATGCTCAGGATCGATTATTTGAATTTGGTTTCAATACAGTCTTGCATTGTCGCAACGACAGCAGTTGCGTCTTTGCTGAAAACGGGTCAAAACCAGTTCTCTCCTTATAAAAAGCACACTGCATACTGCAGGTCATACTTTTTGAAAGACGGTTTTAGGAACGAGCTTCCAAATATTTCTAGCCCTTTAGTTCTAAGCTAAAGAAAGACCAAAAAGAGACTAAGACAGAGGTTAACAGCCCGGGCTGTGGTTTGAAGCCTTCTTTGTACCATTCACTACCTACATGATGATGAACAAGAAAGTCAGACATGCTGCTTATTTCTGCAGCTGAAAACAAGGTTAACAATGGTACCATCTCACAGGGCTGTCGCAAGGATCGAAAGAAGAAACACAAGTCAGATGCTGCTGCAGCCCCTGCCCCACAATAAGTCTCAATCAACACTGGCTCTTGTATTATGATGGGTAAGAGCTCACATAGTTACCAAGAGTCTATTTCCCCGTCATCCTGAGAATTCTTAAAAACCTTACATCTTAACCTGGAAATGTAACACTACTTGCATTAAAATGTCTTTATGTTAGAAAGCCTTGTTAAAACGTTACATCCGTCACCACGTGAAACCAAACAAACACTTCACTGGGGAACCTGGAGTCAATCCTGAAATGTTAACGCAACAGAACGTTAGATGAGTTTCAGAAACGATGACCAGAAACATCAGGAGGGCAGGGGGAGTTTTTATTCTGTAAGTTTAAAAAAAGCAGAGGGCAGACTGTACACTGTGACTGTTAACTATGTCAAATATTAAATAAAAGTACGTGTGCACAGGTGCAAAACCAGGGAAATACAGAAGATTCTAAGCGCCTGTGTTAGGCCGGAATTTCCATTTTTTTCCCCCAAAATGTCTTTTACTATCATTATTGTTTGGATGATAAAAATGCTCTAAAAAAGTATTGGAAAAAAGATGGCACCCTGAATCCAAGTGTTAACTTCGGCTCCCTTTAGAGACCCCACTAAAATCTCTCAGTAAAGAGATTTGTTTTTTTTTTTTTTAAGGCATGAACCCACAAGAACAAAAAAAATAAAAGCAGCGACATTTTGGAAGTTGAAGAACGGAATGATGAGTGATAACTAGCTGAGCGGAAAGCTGAATGTTATACAAGAAGCAGAGAAACTAGAAATCGGAACGGAATCGCGTAACCCCCAAAAGGTGGTGGGTGTGGGGCTGGAAGACAGGAGTACCGACAAAGAGTCTGCTTGAAAAACAGTCAGACGGCAAAGCCACAATTATAATCAGAGATTTCAATACCCCTTTTCAATCGTGGATAGAATAAGTGGACACAAAATCAGTAAGGACATACTGGACCTAATTGACGCTACTAGTAGACTCCACCCCACACCGTGGCTCTTCTCAGGCGGAACAGCTGCAAGATAGTTATATCACTATCTTGATATCACTATCAAGATAGTTACATCACGAGGCTCAGTCGATTTTAAAAAACTCAGGTTGTACAAAGCATGTTCACTGACCGCATGGAATTCAACTGGAAATCAATAAGAGAAAGATTTCTGAAAAGTAACCAAATATTTCTAAGCTAAATCGCACACTTCTAAATATCCCAAGGGTCCAAGCAGAAATGAAAAGGGAAATTATAAAACATTTGTAACTGAATGAGAGTAAAAACACACCACGTCATACCCGGTGGGGTGTCACTACAGCGGTGTGTAGGTGGAGGTGTGCAGCACTTAAATATCTGTGTTAGAAAAAGGGAAAGGCCTCAAATCAATGACCTCGGCTTCCACCTAAAGCAACTATAAAAAGAAGAGCAAATTAAAACAAAAGTAATCAGAAAATAAAAGAGATAATAAAAATAAGAGGAAACAAATGAAATAGAAACAGAAAACAATAAAAAATCAATAAAGGCAAAGCTGGTTACTGAGGGGATCGATGAAATTGATAAACCTCTAGTCATACTGGTCAGGAAAGAGAGAGGACACAAGCTATCAACAGGAAAAATGAGAGAGGTGACAGCACTATAAACTCTGTGGATAATATTGGATAATATTGGAATATGGTGAATAACTTTGCGCCTATAAATTCAATGACTTAGATAAAATGGACAAATTCCTTGAAAGACACAAGCTACCAATGGTCCCTCAAAAAAAAGATACATATAGAGCCAGCTGTCTATCTATTAAAGAAACTGAATTAAAGTCATAAACCTTCCCACAAAGAACTCAGGCTTCATTGGTAAATTCTACTAAACACTTAAAGAAGAATAGTATCAATTCTACACAAACTCTTCCAGAAAACTAAAGAGGAGGGAATACTCCTCTGCTCATTCTATGCAACCAGCATAACCCTTATTCCAAAACCAGAAAATAACATTATAAGAAAAAAAAATCACAAGAAAAGAAAAATATCCCTCAAGAATAAAATTATAACATCTCATAACCAAGAGAGATTTATCCCAGGTATGCAAGGTTGTTTTAACAAATTTAAAATGAATCAATGTTAATGTACAGATGTTAAATTATCATGTACACCTGAAAATTACATAATTGTATTAACCAATGTTACCCCAATAAACAATTAAAAATAAATAAATGTGTAAAATAAAATAAAATAATAAAATGAATCAGTGTTAATTCGCCATATTAACAAACTAAAAAAGAACTCTATCATCATCCCCATAAATGCAGGAAAAACAAGTGACAAACTTCAATATCCATTCTTTATAAAAACTCCCAGCAAACTAGGAATAGAAGGAAACTTCAAGTTGATAAAGAGGATCTACTAAAAAACGAAAAACAAACAAACAAACAAAAAGTCCAGCTAACATCACATACTCAATGATCAGAGACGAAATGTCTTCTCCCTAAGATCGGGGACAAGACAAGAACGTCCGCTCTCACCACCTGGACTCCAGCAACACTGTGCTGGACGTTCCGGCCAGGGCAACGGGGTACCCAGCCGAGAACGGAAGAGGTAAAACTGTTGCAGACGATATGACCTGGGGTGTGGAAAACCCAGTGAGCACTAGAATTAATCGTGAGTGTAGCAGGATGGACAGATCGATATACAAAAATCAATCGTCTCCATCTTGGCAAGGAACACTCCGAAACGGAAATGTAAAAAAAGACCCTTTGACACGTGCATCAGAAACTATGACATGCTGAAAACGACGTGCAAGAACCATACACTGAAAACTACAAAACCTTGCTGAGAGAGACGAAAGCAAAGCTAGGTAAGTGAAGACGAAGACGGGGTTCACGGGTTTGAAGACCGTGTTGCTAAGATGCCGGTTCTCCCCAAGTGGGTCACAGAGTCGATGCAATCCCAATCAAAATTTTAAAATCACTCCCATCAACAGCCGCACATAGGTAAAGCAAGCGAGATCCAGCTCTAAGGAACCGTTAACAAAGGCGCGGGGAGGGTGTTGGACGTCCTCCAGGTTTGTGACTCACAAGACTTGGCACAGACTCGTGCCCATGACTGAGGCTGACGACAGCGAAAGGGCACAAAGCAGAATCAGCGAGGGCAAAAGGCACCCCGGTCAGGGTGCAGGGCACGCCACGCGCAGGTCTCCAGGATCCTCTCCCTGGGGGGTCGCGCAGGGGTGTGCTTAGTCAGGGTGGCACGTGCGAAGTATCGCGTAAGTGCGTTTTATGTGCATGTGAACGTCGATACACTTAAAACGAAAAACAAGACACCAAACCAAAAAAGTAACCGAGGTAGAATTTACTTTGCATAAAAATGAACTCGTAGCTTCGGAAAAGGCACGAAGTGTCGCAGTGTGTGTTCTGCCAGGGCTCGCTGATGATAAGGCCACACCTGGACTTGCCTGGAATAATGCAAGTGACCGGGAAGGGAATGGGCAGAGCGGCCTTGGAAGGTGACGTTGCCCCCACCGCCTGGGTTCAGGGCAGCCAGGGGACAGAAGGCCTTTTTGTAGGTGCAGCGATGGCCAGAGGGGGCGAGGTAACAACAAATGATTCCTAGAACGAGGCCTTGTCACCAGAATAGAGGCGCCAAGTTTTGGGTTAACAGTCCCCCCATTTTAGACAGGGAGCAGGGCCACTGCCAACAGCGCCTATCAGCCGCTCGAGTGCCTATGCTGGTCCCTGTCCCCTCCTCCTGCCACCCAGCACCCGGGGACTGCCCAACACCGTACCCCCATCCACTCCCAACATCACCATTTCCTGCCTTAACTACCCCGCCAGCTCCTAAAAGTCTCCCTGACACAGTGGGCAGAAAAATCCTTTCAAAACCAAAATGCAGATCACGTCACCACCCGGCCTAGCTTAAAATTCTCAAGGGGTTTGGAACTAAAATCCAAACTGCTGACGGTGGCCTCCACGGCCCCTGCAGATGTGGCCCTGCCCCACCCCACCCAGCCACCCAGGCCCCGAGTCCTCCCCGGCTTTGCCATGCTCTTCCCACCTCGGCCCCCGCAGCCACTGGCTCCCCCCGTCTCTGTGGTCTCATTCTTCAGGTCCCAGTCCCCGAGGCTGGGTCTCCTGCCACGCCACCTAACGGAGCCCCCTCAGCTCCTTTCCTCCTGTCCCTCCCACAGCACGTCCTCCAGCCCAAAATCTCTGCTGATCTGCCAGGACAATGCCTGACCCACTGGAAGCTTCCGAACATTCGCGGGTTGGATGACAAGCGGAAGGAGGTCAGCATTCACTAGACAGCCACCATGCGCTGTCCTCATCCTCATAGCTCTGGGGGGCTGTACGTCCCGTCCGCAGAGATGGGAGCTGAGCTCGGAAGAAAAGCTGAGGCCCAAAGAAAAAGAATGTTCTGCCTGGGCCCACGCAGCTAGCAAACGGTCAGACCTGAAACCATGAGGGCTGGGATCTCAAACTGGGCTCGCCTGATGCCAAAGTCCGTCTTTTTTTCCTGCGGCACCAGGCTGCTGGGGAACAGAGAGCGACAGCCGTGTGGGTGGGTCCGGGTGTGCAAATACGCTGGCGGTGTGGGCAAGTCGTCAACTGCGATTTTTTTTTTTTTTAATGAGATGAAGGAAAGAAGGAAGGGAAGAAAGGAATGGTGAGAATGGGAGACAAAGTGAAGAGCAAAGTGAGTTTTAAAAGATTAGAACTGTGCATTTTTACATTTCGACGGGCTTCGTATTCTAGTTATTTTACTCCTTCTTCACCTCACCGGCTTCACATTTTCTCCTTGTCACTGACACTCATATACTTTCATCCACCTGGTATCAGACACGTATTTTCTTCTATCCTTGCTCACGATTATGGACCCCCACGAAAACATTCACTCAATCATCTTCGTATTTCCTTTAGACACACAATCCCTGTACCCTCCGTCCCCAAGCAGACACGCCCTGCTTCCCAAGGTCCTAGCTTTACAACCATCCAATTATTTATTACAACCAGGCAACCACTTCTACCTCAACCCTCTCTTTGCCCTCCATGTTCAGTCAAGGTGAGTTTTTCGTTAAGAGAGTAGATCTTAAGTGTTCTCAATTTTTAAAAAAACGATAACTATGTGAGGTGATGGATGTGTTAATCGACTTGATCGCGTTGATCATTTCACGGGGTAAACATGTCTCCCTCCGTGTCACCTGTCACACACATACACCCTCTTCCTATTTTGCTGGCCACCTCCACAGTCCTCTGCCTCTGTACTCCATGCCAACACGACGACGACAACTGTTTTCTCCAAATGACTCTGTCGAAATAATCTTCAAAATCTCCCTTTGGTTACTCACAGATAAAGGTAGACAGGTCAAGACAACCATCTTCCTATGTAGTTGATAAAGGAGCCTTAAGACACTCGAGTCCCAGGTAAGGCACTGCTCTGCTTCTATCCACATCCTGACTTGGCTGTAAATCAGAGTATGTGGTGCTTTCCCCGAGTCCACCAGAAGCAAGATGTCTAAGCTACTGCTGTAGACGTCTCCTCTTCTGTAAAAGGGGGATGCAATGTCACTCTGCAGAGCAAAGCGTTCAAAACCCACTACCACGATGAAGGCTCAACAGAACACTGAGAAAAAGATGGTTGATGCCATGTCAACTAAAAAAGAAAGTTTTGTACTTAAAGACTTCAGATCTGATGTCTATTTCTTCGGGGCTGAAATAAACGACTAAGGGATGTTTCCATGGCAAATCTGTTTAAAAATATAATCATAAATACGATGCATCATCTTTTTAGTCCTGAGGTGAGAATTCTTTTTAAAGAGTCTGCTCTTCGACGTTTTGGTTTTTCAGTGTTAGAAATACTGATACTTGACATGAAAATCCAGTATCTCTCGGCGTACAAAGAGCTTTCTCTGGCTGGATGGTCACGACACAGGGACCAAACCCTCGTCCGGCCTTCCTCTCGTCTTCGAGAGCTTCTATTAAAACTAAACGCGCATCGCCTTTCATTCGCAAAGCCTTTCTCCATGGCCTTGTATTACTTTTAGCGTCTGGGCTACCTCAGTGAGCAAAAACCAAATGTTTACTTACTTCAAAAGTACTAACTTCAAGATCCTCGAATTTTCCTGAAAGTGACATTCCTGCACAGTTTACAAGCATGTCCACTGGGCCCAGTTTCTCCTGCGCCTGGAAAAAGTTATCACGGCAGGCATTAATAAAGAGAAAAGAAGAATCGTGGAGTAACAAATCAAGGCCAGTAAATAAAATCTATAAAACTAGTAAACCTGTCAGGAAGTTTACTAATTCCAAGCCACATAGCAAAATAATAAGAACCAATCGAAAGGCACGTAAATTAATTCCAATCAGCCCAACCTCTTACTTGTTTTATGACATTCTCGACTTGGCTATAGTCTTGAGATACGTCCACTGATATACAGAGCACCACCTGTTAGAAAGAGAAAATAATCATCAAGCTATGCAGGTGTCTGAAAGCACTTTGAAAAGATTTTTTAAAAATTAAAGTCAATTCTTTTCAAAAGATAGGGAGTCCAATCACTAATGTACAAATTGCACTGTTTCAAATCTGCTGACAGTGCAATTAGTACAGTCTAATTTTCTTGGCAGTTTTCATAAAAAAACGATTTTGAGCAAACTCAAAAGAAACGTTGGCCAAAGGGCACAAACTTTCAGGTATAAGGTAAGTTCTGGGTGTGTAACATCCAGCATGGTGACCGTTATTAATACTGTGCTATTGAATACTTGAAATTTGTTAAGAAAATAGATCTTAGGTGTTCTCACCACGAAAAAAAAATGATACCTCTGTGAGGTGATAGACGTGTTAAACAACTTGGCTGTGGTAATCATTTCATAATGTCAATGTACATTAAATCGTCACATCGAATATCTTAAATACGTACAATTTTTATTTGTCGATTATACCTCAAAAAAGCTGGAAATAGAAAAAAATATATAAAATGCTTCTCTTAAAATGCCACTGCTCTACAGTGACAGGAAGTTGGTCGGTGACCACCTACAGCCAGTCACGGAGGGCGGAATGGACTGCAAAGGCCCGAGGCCGCCTCTGTGTCTGGGCTTCTGTGGTACTTCCACACGTGTCTACATCTGTCAAAAGCCACTGAACTGGAACCCTTCAAACGGATGTGGTTTATTGCATATAACTTCCATCTCAAGTGGTTAAAAAGAATACATAAATTACATAAAGAATACATAAATTATAAATACATTACATCTCAGGTTATTAATATGTTAAGTTGTTAAAAAAACAACAACAACAATAAATCCGATCAACAGGTTTAAAAAACTATTCCCCTTGGAGCAGTATCAGAGCCAGGACAGACTCAGTGGGTGGCATGAAGACAGAAGCAAACATCTACTCCCAGAAGCCACCTCGGTTTGGGCTCCCCTGAGAGACTGAGCCATGGAACATTATCCTACAAGACCATAGGTAGATTTGGGCCTGCAGGAGCTGAGCTGGGAGTCAAGTCACATTCAGTTCACTCTGAGGTTTGCTTGAGACCCCTGACTCTGGGCTGACCGGGCCACTCAGCAGAGCCTTTGGAGGAGGTGTCACCGAGCTGAGCCCCAGAGCCCACTCAGTACAAAGCTGGCTGTGCCCAGGGGTGCACGGCACGGAAGGAGGGCGGGAAGGGCTCGGCCTGTGCTTACCATGGAAAACAAGTCCACTCAGTCTTTGAAAAGGAAGGGAGGAGAAAAAAAAGGGGGAAAACACACATATCGGGGCTTACTTTGACAGAAATATCTGAAACCGAATCTGGGACGACTAAGAGGACAAACAATGAGATTTTGTTTAATCTTACTTTCTGGGTAATGTTTTCAAAGCAGAGCTTAGAGCCCTGACAGAGGAACGTTCTGTGCTGCCAGGAAGGTCACTGAGAGAAGCAGAAAGGTGCTCTTGACCTCTTGGCCGTTCCGTGAATTCTCCCGTGTTGACACTGGCCGCCATGCTCAGGGGTGGATAGAACATGGTGGGTCGCAGGGCGCTAAGGACCTGATGATGCGCCCACGTGCAGCTGTGGGTGTGAGGCGGTGGCCACGGTGCAAAGGACACACACGTCCCTCGGAAGGCCTGGCTTCCAATCCTGTCCCTTTGCGAACGAGCTGAGCAGAACCTGAGTAGGGGACAGTGGCCTCGGCAGTGCAATAGGGTGTCCGAAGCTAGTGATGACCAAGACCCCTTCCAGCTCTAAGAAGCCATGGTGTGAAAAATGAATCTGCAACGGGGATTGTACCCCGCTCTCACCACATAGAAAACAGTTTTTTAAAAAGGGAGCAGGAATCATCGGATTAATTTTTAAACATACAGTATTAGATCCTTGACCACAAGTGAAATTTCAAACCAAGTGTTAACAAATTACCAGGAAAAAAATGCCCACAGGGCACCGTTTATGCCAAGTGGTGTGACAAGCCTGTTCTGGGCCAGCAGAAGGATCAAGCTCCTTCTGACCCACCCTCAGCCTTGATATCTTCCCCTCCCCTGGTGTGGAAGTCAAAACCTTTCCACATGACCTAAAACCTTCCGATAGGTGAACAGGGGGCGGGAGTAATGGTGAGGTAGGTCCCTAGCAGGCAAGACTGGCCGTCAGCCACAGCATTCGAACTTTATGGTTTTAGATATTTCCTTCTGTATCAGAAGTTACGTGAATATGAAAAAGAAAAATGGGGCGATTTGCTGAGCTGGCAGCTTTCCAATGTTGGTGGGCTTCAGAGAAAGGGGAACAGGCAGAGGCCACGGTACTAGAGAAAAACTCACATACACGCAACAGCAGGTGTAGATGAGGACTCTACCTGCAGCATTAAAGGCAACAGCAAAAAAAAAAAAGCTAAACAACCTAACAACAGGAGACTGATTAAATAAACTCTGGGGTACCGAATACTATGCCACAGCAGTTTAAAGAAATGAGGCGGATTTCTTTCTATTGACATGAAAAGATCTCTAATGTATTCTGGAGAAGAAAAGAGGCAATTAAAAAACTATAATGAAATACCATATAAAACTCATCCGAAAGGCAAAAGTTAGAAAGTCAGCCAATACTAAGTGTTAACAAGGTGTACGGGGCAACAGGAGACACCAACCACTCTGGTGGGGCTGTAACCACTTCGGTGAGGCTGAAGGCATGCACATGCTCAACTCAGCAATTCCACTGCTAGGTATATTCGTGCAAAACAAACTAACTAACAAAACTAGAAACAACCTAAACATCTACCAACAGTAGAACTGATGAATTAAAGGTAGTCTAGACATACAAGACAAGACTATATAGAGGTAAAACAATGACTGAACTATTTTACTTTATGCGGCAACGTAGAAGAATTTAAAAAAACAGTATTGAGTGAAGAAATGAAGTTGCACAAGAACCCATAAAGAACGATGCCATAAAAATTCAGAGAAAGAGAAAGCAGGTTAATGTCTGCCTAGGGATGGAAGGGGTTTGGGAGGGAATGGGGAGTGACTTAATGGGTATAGACTTTACGAGAGGATGAAAATATTCTACAATTAATTTCGATGATGGCTGTGCAACTTTGTGGATATGTTAAAACCACTGAATGGTACATCGTAAATCAGGGAACTATACGCTAGGTGAATTATATCTCGATAAAGCTGTCTAAAACAATGATGCAGAAGTAAACAATATACTATTTACGGTCACACACATTTATGGTCGAATTATAAAGAAAAGCAAAGGATCAACACAAAAATCAGGCTGGGGTTCCCTCTAGGAATGACACACAGGAGGAAGCTGATGTGGGCTCTCAGAGTGGCTTCAGGGCCCCTGTGAATTCCATTTCTTAAGCCAGGTAATAAATGTGTGGTTATTAATTTGTTATTATGTTTTGTAGTGAAATATATATATACATGCACATACCATTTTATTCATTAAATCGTTCCATAACCAAAAAAAATTTTTAATGCCCTTTCCCCCTTAAGTGTTTTGTGTAAAGTTGATTTAAATAATTAAAATAAAATCATTTTCTAGTAAAGCATTGTTATTTGGTCATTTGTGTGTGCATGTGTGTGTCTATACATTTTTGTAATAATCTGAAATTCTGGACAACTCAAACAATTTCGCCTTTTAAAAAACAGTCTAGTATGTATTTTAATTTGGAAAATCTTACATCTTTCAATGAACTATTCATAGTTGAAGTAATTCTTTTTTTCTCGCTATGCAACTGTGTTGATTCATACAGAAAATGCATCGAGAAGATAGTGATATTACCTGTTTATCATTAATAGAGTGTTTTTCAATTTCTTTCTTTGCCTGCAGCAGCCTGTCCTAAAAACAACAGAGAACAATTAGTTCTAGCGATTGTCTCTTTGCCTGCTTGTTTGTTTAAAAGGAGAGAAAAAGCATTTATTTGTATGAGTATTTATTAAGTCCCAGAAAACACATAAGACCACATAGAGATGGGCCAGTCTATCAAGCATGTTAAGCTATGGCTAACTGATAGCAAGTTTTAAAATTCATTGCATAGAAAGATATGCAAAGTTACCCACATAACCGAGTAACTTTTCTAAGGTCTCGATTTTACTCGTTTCACTCATTTTCAAGATGATGAATATCAGTTTACAGTGTCTTAATTTGCTCTAGGAACAGAAAAATCAGTGAACTTCAAAATCCTAATTAACAGCATGACATGCTGATGGTTACCTTATCAATTCTAATCAATGTTTTGATCTGGCATTATTTAGATGATATAAAAGAAGAACCATATGGATATGCAATGCTTCCCAAACGTAAGGGTACTCATGAGTCCACGTCAAGAATGCTTTCATCGAGAATTGTCCAATATTTTCCTTTTCTACTATAAAAGCAAACACAGTAAAAATCACTTTTTAGATGGGCTGGGGAAACCTATGCGTGGCTACTCTCAAAAATACTCTTGACAAGCAAAGTTACCATCATAACCGAGTAACTTTTCTAAGGTCTCAATTTTACTCGTTTCACTCATTTTCAAGACGACGAATATCAGTTTACAGTGTCTTAATTTGCTCTAGGAGCTGTAATTTAAATTCATCCTGATGGCAGCAGAGAAAAGGGAGGGCAGTCTTTTGGAAAGACACAGGTTTTCTAAACACGAACGTGTCTATAATAAAATAACATTGTTCTATTAATAAAGATATACACGACTTGACTTTATCAAAATCAGGATAAAAAGCTGCATCAGAAGATGAAGAACTTCTTGATGCCAGAAGGCATGTCTGCTCTTTCGCCTCCAGCCATGTGAGGACCACAGAATGAGCTTCTGAGCCCCTGAAACCTGGGACACCCCTGCCTCCTTTTTCATCTGCCTCGTGTCAAATGTCGGCATTGTTTAAATCTCCCAAAATGCCATTTTACTAAAGCCGTGTTTCCTCTCCCATAAGGTAGCGTCAATGCCAAAGCAAATTCACTGTGAGAGAAGTCGGGGTCTACATAAAAAGCTAATTCTGCCTTTCTTGAGTTTAAAAAGTCAGGGACATCCAAGCCTAATTCTGTGTCTTTATTTGAACACTGCCATCGTCGGGGTCCTGCTTACCTGTGCACCCCCACCCGAGCAGCCACCACATCACTGCCCTCTTTTTGCATAGGGGAATCCGAGTCCCCAAGCATGGAAGCTGGCATTCCCATTGCTCCCATCAGCCTCGCTCCATGTCTTCATTCAACAAATATGTTCTGAGCACCTGCTATGAGCCAACTATGCCCCGCACAGAGCTACGGCAGTTGACAACACAGCCCTAGCCACTTCCCCCACCCCGTGGAGCAAGAGGACTCCACGACTGTTCATGTGACCACGGTGTCACCACTTTGGGTCATGGAAGCAACTTCGGCAAGAACAGACCCTGAGTAAAAAGAAAAACGGACCTGTGTCGACGTGACCCAGAAAAATACATGTTTTGCTAAACTGCTGGGGAGCAGTGAGATTCTTCTGTGGGGTCTGGGTTTCACTAGAGATGTGTATCATGTCATAAGCAGATTAGAGAGAAACGCCAACACGTCCGCGGGGACTCTGGTATCAGCTCCACAATCGCCTGTGTGGGCTGTGCCCCCGCCCCCCTCCGCCCCCCACGGCCAGGTGTGCTGCTCAACGCGCCCTGCCCAGCTCGGGATCCGCAGCGTCTCGGCTGTTGCCTAAGAGTCGCTGGCTCTAAATAAATATCTGTGGAGCTGGCCTGACTTCAATGACGAAGTCTTTGATCTGAAATAACCAGTGGTTCAGGAATCACACCTCCCACTGCCGACGGGAGGGATCCCAGCACAGGTGTCCGTCCGGCCTCTTCCATTAATCTAAGGCTGAACAAGTGGGTTAAGTAACCACGTACTTCATTCCGCGCAACCAGAGTTATAAATGCTCCTTGTTTGTAGCACTCGATAGCAATGCACTTCCCGATGCCGCTGGAGCCTCCCGTGACCTAAAAGGAAAAAAAACAACAACAACAACTTAGGACTTGGAATTTCCCTTCCGTGGGAAGTTTATTTAGAACAATTATGATGGCTCTAAAAGCCAGTCTGCAAGAACTCGATTTTTAGCTGTTGTAGCTTCTTCGTCCCAGACTTAATGAATGGGACAAGTGCAAATGTGAAAGCCTGCACTACCAGTGGGCTGTGATTGTCCTGGGCGTGAGCTATAAACTGCACACCTATAGTATTTTTCTGAGTTCACTGGAAGGGAAGTGCCCTATCAATCCAGCTACTAAACAATACATTAGCCTGCCTTTGAGTCCAAATCAACCGAATCTCATTTCCTGACTGCATGGCTACACTTCCTATGCACGGCTAGCTCTCCGAGAGATGAAAAGGACGCTTATATCTTGATATTTTTAGATGATGGCTTATGGTAAAGTATTATTTGATCACATGGAAACCCTGAAAAGCAGAGCTTCCCTTCCTGCACCATGCCCCTCACCATCTACAGCTCAGCCACGCCGCCGCCTTGCAGCTCCACTGTCTCTCCCGCCACGGGACGGGCCTCCGCATGCCCCCTTTCTCCTGTGCGGGAAGCTCTCCTCCCCTCTGTTCATCTGGCTGGCTCAAAACCCATCAAAACTCGGCTCAAACACCTCTTCTCAGGAAAGCCCTGGCCGACTGCCCTGCCCCCACCTCGACCCACTTTTCCGCACGGCATCCTTTTTCCCTTTAGTTGATGCCCTCACAGAATCGGCCACGGATTTCTCTCCGTGATTATGTCATTCACAACCATCTCTCCTATCGCTGCCCCGTAAACTTGACTGCAAATGCCAACTCTATTTTCTCTCCCTCGCTATATTCCTAGCACTTAGCACAGCACCTGGCATACAGGAAGGACTCGATGTATATCTAACTTAATAAGACAAATGCAACATTACCTTTCTAGTCATTTTCCCTGATGCAAATTACATAATATGGGCCAGGGGAGGTGTAGGGGGCTCAGTGCTGTCAGGTAAAGGGGTAAGGAAGTGTCAGAGATGCATCAGTCTTTCCAGGGTACTGCACCCTACTAAAAAATAATGAGGTCGTAATGTCTAATGTCAAAAACTCAAAGGCTTCACGGTATTGCTTTACATAGCTCTATCAAAACTTAACCTTTTCCCTATAGTCAGACATTTAGATTATTTTGAATATTTTACTGTTAAATAGTAAACATGCTACAGTGAAAAATCTCGACCCCCTCCCATTTTAAAATCCTCAGGATGCCTCTGGCACACACACAACGGTCCGAGCCCCGGGCGACACTTCTCTTTAGCCTAATCTTTCCGACATTGAGAATTCTTTGGAAAATCTCAATTATCAATTATCTACGGGTTACTGTAAAAACATACCTGTCGCCTAGGCAAATGGTTACCTCTGAGGAGGTGTCTGCTATCGAGATATTTCATAGCTGGTTTTGGTTTATTAATTTGCATCGGACATTCCAATTCCATAGCAATTATCGGGACCCCTAAAAAGGTCATGGCTGTTTAGATGTCGTTTCTGCTGTTTAGATGTCCCTCCACCCGACATTCCCCATGTACCTGTATTTCCAAATCCTACCTCTCCTGCAGAGTTCCAATGTCCCCTCCTCCAAGAAGCTTTTCCTGACTCTGCCACTCAGCCCCGTCCTTTATCTGTCACTTTCTACTCTGTGCACATTTATGTACATATCGTAGCCCCTTGCCAGATTACAAGTTCTTGAAGTACCAAGTCCAATTTATCTCCCTTATTCCTAGCACAGTGCCTTGCATAAGCAGTTGCTAGATAAACACTTGCCTACATTAATTTACAAAATGGTATATGGTACCATGTCTCTGAAAGATACAATGACAAGAAAACTTGTAAGTAAAATCTCCCTATTTGTTATTCGATGAATGAAAGTTGAAGTTATGAGGTAATTGAGAAAACGTATAGGTTGTAAAGTGCTATGTAGATATTAGCTATTGTTATTATTGTTCTTTTCCTAGACTATAATAGGTGAACTAGCCACGTAAATTTAATGCACAGCAAAGAACTGTTCCACGCTGATGACTTAAAAGATTTTTCTATAAGAACAAGAGTCAGACTCCAACTTTTAGGTCATGACCCATAGGAAACCAACCTTCCAGTCTAGCCAGCTAATTCTTAAAAAGCATCTAAGAATATACATAAGCCAATTCTAGGCTATTATTCTGACCGTTATAAGAAAATATAAGAGATTTTCATAACGAAGAAAAATGGTAAGTATGTACTGAGTTGTCTGACAATTGGTAAACTGAATCCAGATAGGGGACACTAAAGATGATAGTTTAATTTCGTTTCTTTATCATTCCCTGTTACTATTCACTGCGAATGTCATTTACAGGTTACTAACTCTTTAATCCCACCATACACCTCTCATAGAAGGCAAGAGCGGGGTGGTTTGTTGCAAGGATGGCTCCCAACCATCTCCAAAAAAGGGAGAACTTGATTTTCCAGTACTCAATTAAACAGCTTTGTAAAACCCAGCTTATTAAATAAATACGTGCCCTGTAAGACTTCTGCACAGCTTTACCACTGTAACTAGGGAGATAACACTAGACTAGAAGAATTGTTCTCAAAATGAAATAATAGTTATGACCTGGTCTGTTCGCACTTTCACATAAGCAGACGTTCTAAACGCTGGCTCCCTCTCCTAACACCACCTGGTCTAGTCCTAACCCATCCCAAGAAAAATAACTACACTTTCACTCTCCTTATGACATTAAAAAAGAAGACAGATGGTGACGTCGTGTGAATTATTCATGTCATCGTCACGTTATTTATAATGGCGTATTAAAACTGGATGGTGAAAATAAATTCTTCTTGGTCTATCTATCCCAGGAGACTTGTTTATCACCTTGCCTGCCTACGGCCTGTAGCAAGATGGAAGGACCAGAGTCAAGGTTAAGTGAAACTCTCTTATAAAAACTGACTGCATTTGGCTTCATCTTTTTCCAAGTTATGCTCTGCGAATGTAAGTTCTGAAAGAATCCAACTTTTAAAGCCGTGCTTTTGTGACAGTTCTCTTGCAGATGTGGCACTTTCAGGATTTGGCATGATTGCAAAGTTTTGCTTCTCTGTCTCTCTCTCTCTACCGATTTATATTCACCTCCTTATCTATCTTCCACATCAGGAACGGCAGGAGTTGGAAATATACTCATAGTTTTACAAAAGAGAAATTAAAGAAAATACCTTTTCTCGTTCACAAACGCTTGTCCAGATTCAAAGCTCCCTGAATGACCTTCCTATCCTATCACTGCGCAGTGGGGAGAACCGGATCTCGGCGAGGCTCGCGTATGGCACCTCGGGCACCAGGATTTGTGCCGCCAGCTTAGTAACTAGCTGTCCTTACTCACAACCTCGCGCCTCGGTGTGCATCGGGGTGGGGAGAGCCAAACAGAAAAACGGATGAGAAAGCCACTGCAAAGGGTGAAGTGCTGGGGGCAGGTAGAGAGGCATTCTCGCTCGGTCTAAGACAGGTGCCACACCTGAGAAAAGGGACCTCTTGAAGACATGAGCTTCCGGTTAGAAACAAACCAAACCCATCCACATCCCGCTTCGTTCCTCAAGCACCAGCCAGGTCGTCTAGCTCATCCCTGGGTCTCTGAAATGATGGCAGAGGACTGCACCCAAACGGCCATCAGCCGACCCCGGGCTGACGGCTGAGCCCCGAGAGAGAGACAAGCGGTGCAGACAAGACAGAAGCGTCCCAGCACCGCCAGCCAGGACCGCCGGCCCACGGGGGACGGACCGATCGTCCCCCCTGAGAGTCACTTCCTCGCTCCCT